CTAGTGTAGTTTATTTAACAGCTTTAAAGAAATAAGACATTCAGATAAATAACTGTTTTTTATCACATTTTTGTGAGGTTTTTTTTTTTTTAGATTTTAAGAATATAATTAGGACTTTTATGGTCTTAATCTTTCATTGAATAATACTCTTTCCGCACTTATTCTATATATCTATGAAAAAAACCTATAATTTAGAGGATAGTTTGACTAAACCTGGTAAACTGTTTATCTTTGACTCAAATCAAAACGCTTCTCAAATAACTATAAAAATTTGGATTGGCTGTTTTATTTTACTTTATTTTTTATCTAAATTGTCAATAAAAAAAATTAAAAAAAAAACTCAACACAAATAAATAAGTATTTCTACGGCAGTATCAATGCATATGTCACATAGATAATCTCCATCTTAGAATTCTTTTAAGAAACCCAGAGAGGGTTAAAGTACGATATAAGAGCACCACAATGTGATTTTTTCAGACCTTTTTGAAGACAAATATTTGATAGACCATTATTTTCAGCCACCTTCACCACAGATCAGCTAATTTTTAAAACTAAAGGGACGAAATACCAGTAGCTTCAGTGGCTTCTTCATGCTTTACTTGACAGCAATTTGTTATCCTCTGTACAAAAGATGCTTTTTGTGAATTGAATATTGCAGATCTGTGTTAAATACAGTCAAGTGTTTGGAGCAATCACCCTAAAAAGAATGTGAAACATACCTCTAATAATCACAGCCTCATTCATTTTTGCAGACGTCTCAAGAGTCTGAGTTTACTCCCAGAAAATCAGTTCATCTACACCAGAAGTCCTCAAGACTCCTTGAGTGTCTCTGTGCCCTGATTTCAGTCTGCAAGGTAGCAGAGGCTCCTTACAGCTTTACAAAATAGTCCACAAAGAAAAGGATTTTTATTCCCCTTGCTCCAATCTGCTGGGCCGAGCTGCTCGAGCCTCAGAGCTGCTGTCAACCAGCCTGGACTGAGCCGAGGGAGGGAACAGAGAGAGGTCCTTCTGAAGCATCGACTTAGCCTTTGTTGCTTTCTCCAATCAGCATGCGAGAAAAGACCTGGAGGAGCAGACAGCACAGCTCTGCCCTGTCCTGCCTGCACTCTGAACCATAGGTCAGATAAGTATAAACATAAAGACACATATGCAAAGAAAAAGAAAAATGGCACCGGCAGACCCAAGTGGAAACAAACAGTCGAGCAGGCTCAAAGGAAGAACAGGAAGAGCCCTGGGTGCTCATGTTAGCTCGCTGCAGCTCTGTGAGACAAGATGTCATGCTGTTTGTTTTTGTGTGAAGTAAAATAAAGAGAAATTCTCCCTCTGGTCTCAGACGGTGAAGCGGCATCCTCATTAGCCGGGTAGGAGGGAGAGAAGGTGACGGTGGTCATTCTCCTCCAGACAGAGAGGTGAGGAGACCCCTGTAGCTAACAAGAGCAAAAGAAAATGTTACAGACTTCTTACTTTATAAAGAGGAGCCTCAGGAAACTGGGTTAAATTGCTTAAAAAGTACAACTCAAAAAGCCTCTTTATTTTGCGCAAGAAAATGTGAAGCCAATAGGCAAAATGCCAGTAAGCTTTTTTTTCTTTTTTAAATAAAAGTTTTCTACATTATATCCCAAAAGTGGACTGGGCCCCATGACAGATTTGCAAACACTGTGCTGAAGCATAATTCAAAGCTCAGGGTTCAGTAATTCATTCACTTTACAGCAGATGACACTGTCATTGTGCAGGAAGACAAGAGCACTGATGCAGAGAGGCACACGCAACCATGCATATACAGAAATATGTACCAACATACACACAGACACGCATGTACACACACTCCTCTTTAGGCGAAACAAACTCATAGGAGAATAATCCAAATAAAAAGCAGTGTTTGAAGAAATTGGCTGGTATGTGCAGATAACATATTGCATGCTTTGAGGGGATTTGTTATGAACTGAGTGGGTGTGCAACACTTCTGCATCCCAGGGTTTCATTAAAAAAGTAAAGCGACTGTTTTTATAGAGACAACTGCAGGGGTCAGAGCTTTGCAGTAAGCCTCAGTGGATAAACAGGGTTAAGAGAGTGAAATGACTCAGAGGTCTTGTGTATAAATATTGATGCCACCTTTCAAAGACTTCAAATGCAATACAATTTAGCTTGTATATTAAAAGTACATGTCTGTCATCAAGGATTCACCAAGAATAAAATCTGAGGTCTAGCCACAACATCACCTCTCCAACAGCACAGAACTGAACATGGACAACACAAAGGCGGATGCACACGCAGACTCGTGCTCACGTGAAGGTGGAACATGATTGGTTGAGCCAGAGTAATCACCATATATTTTCAGATCTATATCGAGGCACTGATCATAAGTATAGAGAGTAATCAATAGGGGGTCTAACATAGAACCTTGAGGAACACCAGTTTTACATGTTATGCTGCTAGATGGGACAAAAAATTCATCTGGAACGCCCCCCTGAAGTCAGATTTCTGACTCGGAAAGTTGGACGATCCTCGCCAACCCCGACTTGACGACAACATCTTAATCCAAGATGGCAGCGCAGCGCAGCAACAGTAAAGAGTAACAGTGAAAGCTCTTGTAATGTATTATCTGTTAGCTCTTCTGTTTTGTTTTTGTGAAATTAAATAAGTAGTATATGTTGTGCTGCCCAATGTCTAGCTGCGCACACGGTACTATGGTGTTTGTAAGAGTAAAATACTGTGTCATGCATTGTTTATAACTTGTATAGCTAACAACAACTAACAACCACTGACAACGGCCAACGACAGCTGACAATTTTAAACAACAGCTAACGACTGGTAACTGTAGGCGTCCATCTTGGTTTTCCGACTTGTTAACTGGAATGCTGTCAACTCGGGTGTAGCTACATTCTCAGCTCCGACATCCGACTCCCGAGCTAACTGGAACGCAGCATCAGATATTAACATCCTATCAGGCAGGAGAGTGCCTGCTGCACTAGAAATGTGATCAAATACTCCAGAGCTGCAGTATCTAGTATTAAAAACACATTCATTGGCTTAAATGGGACTGATTATGAAGACTTAAGGGGTTAGGAGCTCAGAGAGTGCACCACCTGATTGTGATTCATGCCATTATGATTTTTCTCAGTCACAGAGGAACGAACATGCTTCGTCTGATGCTCTGCAGAAACTCGGGCTTAATGGGTTTGAGAGAGAGAAAATTCCAGCTAATGTCCTGTCATTAGGATTTAATATCCTGCCATTAGTATTTATTAGATTCTCTGCATGCGTTTAAAAGTTTAAAGGACAAAATGAGACTTTTGAGTCGGATAAGCAAACAAGCGCACAACTTCTTCTAAATGTTGCACATCTGCTCCTGTTTTGGATAACTGAGTTCTCGCTCTGTTTCAATTACACTTTTCATTAGAGGGAAACATCCTCTATTGACTGCTTCCTGCTGACATCTGTTGTGTTTACACTCCGTCTCATTTATAACGCATTAGCACTTATTTCATGGCCAATGTGAAAAATAACACATGAGCATTTGACTCGGTGTGATTAATCCATCAGGTTGTCACTAAAGCAGAGAGTCAGACCTGTGAGGACACTTCAAACAATATAAAGCAAGAAAACGGAGGACAGTGAATGTCTCATAAAGAATCAGGTTTACACGTGTCCGATTATTTCACAAACGGACATTTCACCGTCTCCGTTTACAAATAACACCACTACAATTTTTTTAGAGAGGTTTTCGTTCCCACTAACCCGTGTAAATATGCCGTCAAGAACATATCAAACATGGAGGTGGCAGTGTAACAAGAAGCTCAAACCCACGTTAGCCAATCAAATTCTGGCATAGCAGCAACAACAACAACATCCCTTCCTTCTTTCAAGTGCACAATCTGCTGTCGGCTACCCAAATCTCAGTTTTCCTCTGTTTTTCTCTGTTTACATGCAAACAAAGTTTTCCAAAATCGCCACACTTTTTAGTCAGCATCGTTTTCAGGGGCGAATTCTCAGTTTGCGTACAAACGAAGGATGCAAATGATGGTTAATATCTCCATTTTTAAAAATAACTGGGGATGTATAAACGGGGCCTCGGTGTTATAATAATACAGTCTGGATTTTGTGCAACTGGTATTAGTAGATAACACCTTAAAAAGTTAAAGGAATTAAATAATAAAATCACAGTGATAAATGATCAGACATTAATGCAGCAGCTAGCATATCCCCCTCTAAAGTTTGATTCAGGCACAGAGACGACTACTGCTTTTGTTTTGACCTGCAGTTTCAAGGCACCCCCACTGTTTCGGGCGCCCCTTAGGTCACCAGGTATTAGACCATTTATCATGACAAACTAACAGCGCAGTGATTAATAGTCGGGGCAAGCGAGCTGGTTCAGATACACCGGTAACTGAGTCTACTCGACCCAAAGGGCCTCGGCATGCTTCTAAAATGCTCCATGACAAGAATTGTAATGAAACAAGGATACATTTTTGAGATGCTTTTGTAAAATTGGAAAATAGTCACTGCATTACACAGATTCATTTTTCCACATTAAGCTCTTTACATCCACATTTCTTCATCATAAATGATGTTTAAGGAATTTGCTCGAAGTATTCACTGCTTTCAATTCTCAACAAGCAAACTCAGGCTTTGCATAAAGCTGCATGTTTTTTTCTGAAGGTAATAAAGCAGAGGAGACAGTCTGATTTGATGGTTTAAATAAAAACCAGCCGTCTCAAACTTTCCCCATCTGTCAAAGGCAAATGAGCAATCTGGAAAGAGTGGGCTGTTTTTGTTCCTTCTCTGTTTCTTTCTTCTCTTAAACTTTCACCCACCAATTTGCAAATCAAGCCATTAGACAACTTTCTCAATGGAGTCGATAAACCAGGAGGGGGAGAGGAGAAGTCGGTGAAGCGTAGAAGAGGTGGCGAGTAAAGAAGGAGGATATGGAATAAAAAGAGGAAAAGAAGAGATGTGAAAACAGGGTAGATGCGGGTATGGATAGCAGGTAGATGTTAGCACAGCAGGGGATCTAGAGCGGATGCACAGCAAGGTAGTGGAGAGGAAGAATCTGACAGACAATTGCAGTGAGGAAGTCAGGAGGAGGAGGAGAGAGGGACGGATGTGGAGCCTCCTCTAGCGTGGCAGGGAGCTCTGCAGTTCAAGAGCAGAGGCTTTCAGGCTGGTCCTGGTCCTGCCTCTGTGCTGTATCTTGAAAATCCTGGTGATTAATGAAGGCGGTGTTCTACATGGAGGAGATGGATGAGGAATGATTAATCTCAATGAGCGATTCTTTGTCCCTGTTTTAACTGTGGAGAGGATATAATGTATGGGGCTTCAGGAGGGGCTCATCTCCTTTGATATGTGATAACAAAAGAGACCAAAACCGTCTCAAGTGTCCAACTATTACTGCAGCAGAGGCAGACCTACTTTTGTCAATGACTCGGGTCTTACCAGGTGCAGGGGCTGTAACTGTAACTCGACATGACCCTGCATGTAAACATACCGACTGTGATCCTACTTAAAATAGCTTCATGTGCCTAAAGGTGCAGCGGATAATTATTTCAGAGAATTACCTGCACATAGCGAGTCTGCAGTGATTTGAATAAATTTTGCACTCATTAAAAATTTACAACATCCACAGCTCTTGTGAATCCCATTTCAGCTCCTAATAAAGTTACTTGGAGTTCAGATGAGGGGATGGGAAAATGTAAATCAAACTCCATGCGTGTTTTAATCAAGGTTAGTTCAGCTTTTGAATCGCCTGCTAAAGCGTCAGGGTTCTGCTCAAGCTAACCTAGATGCGGACACCTCAGTGACTTACACTGATTTATTTCTGCTCACTCTGCAGACTCTGGTTCCAGTTTGCTTTTAGAAATTGAATAAATTAGAAACTAAAACTCTTGCAAAAAAAAAAAAAGTTGGTGTTGCATTTGTAGTGTTGAAAAACATGAGTGTCTTTAATGAGGATGTATTAGAAAGATCCTCGGCTCTCTATCCAACGCAGCAGAGACAGAGAGAGGAAGGAGGATGAGGGTTTAATGAATGTTCTCACTTTGATTAATGGTCCCAGTGAGGCTATCACAAACTGGCTGTTTTTTGTTTTCAATAACTGGTTTGAACTGGCTGTAATGCTGGCAGTGAATCCTTGTGGTTAAATCAAATGAATATTTATGCTGTATTAACAATACTGATCATTTTGGATGTTTTTAGTATGCAAAGTGAGTATTTAAACAGCTGTTATCACATTCTGTAAAACCACAGACCAAGTAAAATAAGCTGTGTCGCCAAATATGTGTGACAGTGGGCGCTTAAAAACATGGATTTGGTGGGTGTGTTTTTGCATGTGCATGAATTCTCTGCAAATATGAGAGAGAAACAGGGATTGGCCTCGTGTTGCGTATGTTCTTCATGGCTGCAGGTTGCAGAGATAGACCGGTTTGTGACCTCAATCTTTGCAAAAAACCCTCCAGCAGGTTCTGTGCTTGTTCTGCTCTTTATTCTTAAGGCGTCTACCAACAAAAACAGCAGTTCTGAGAGTCAATGAGCACAGCAACCTTCTGCTGTAGATGTAGGAAGCAGGTAGGAAGATCAGAGCTCAGGAGGTGATCAGGTTAATGCTTCTGCAATCTGCTTTTCCACGAGTCAGATATACATGCGAACAAAAACAAACGCTGTTTTCTGTAAACAAAAGACAGTTGCAGAGAAAGACAGGCAATTACTTAGTCAGACACACCCACTCCCACGCAGAGACGAGCACACAGTTGTCGATGTGTCCACTCATGCAGAGTGAAAATAAATTGCTCCCTTTGAAGACAAATCAAACTCAAAGTCTGATTTCTGTCACCGCGCTGTTTGGCTTTCAGGCTGCGAGGCTGACATCTGACACAACTCTCACGCAGTCACACCCAAGAAGCCGGGCAGGCGTACAACCGCTGATGGGCACGCACCCACCAGCTCCTTCGAGATCCTGATCTATGCTGACAAAATTAGCATGAAGCCTCCTCTACGTATCGTAGTTTGAAAATGCAGCAGAGGGCTTTGGGAAACCCTGACCTACTTGTGCGTGGCAACAGTTGTTGGCCTGTTTAGGGCATGTTGCCAGAATACGGTATGAAAAAGGAAGTTTTTGCTTTCTGTGTGGAGTTTGCATTGACAGCTGCAGGTTGTGCATGCGTGGGTTTTCTCTAGGTAACTCCAACATGAACGGTTGCATGTCTCTACATGTCAGCCCTGTGATAGACCTTTCCAGGGTGTATACCGCAGTAAAAAGATAATGGGAGGACGTCTACCTGCAGTCTCATTCCAGCGCATCACAGATGGCCCTCACAATAATTGCTCTTCTGCCATTTACAAGTTCATTTACTGACATTTTACCAATCTAAATCATCATTAAAAAGAAAACAATCCAAAATAAATCAAAAGCTTTATTTAATGGGAAAATTGGTCAGGGAATTGCAAACATCTGTTTCTAAGGCCCTGCGTCATAAACTCTCAAGGTAAAACCAAACACCGTGTTACCGCTCACAGACTCCGGCATCGCTCTGAGGAGCCATCACAAACACGGAGCGAGTCAACAAGACTTCAAATGATTCAGGGAGAAAAACCAAGGGCAGGGAATAACAAATAAAGGTGAAATAAAGTACAGATGGCGCCGTTGTTTAGGATCAGAACATATTTTTCTCTCAAAAGAATGCGCCTCACGGTAGCAGTATCAGAGGTTGATCTGGGTCCACGTCTGTCCTTTGAGACCTTGGAGCAGCTTTGAAATGAATTGGCTCTGGTTTTAGTTTAACAGCCTCTTGCTTTATTGTTGGCCATCTTGTTTATGACTGTTGGCATCTGAAACCGCTCTGGTACAAAGACAGAGAGGGGCAAGGGGATGTTTCATTCCAGCACAGCCTCAAATAAAGGGAGGTCACGATGAAAAGGGAGCTTAAAGTGCATTGATTTAATACCTAACAGCTCCCTGTTTGGATTCCCCTTTGAGGACAGGTTCTCATCTGAACAGATCCGTTTTGTTTCAGCCTCTCAAAAGCCATGTCTACATGTGCAAATTCTTGATCAGATTAAAAAATTGAGGGATCGGATAATCTGAATCCACTGTTTGTATGGGTGCAAAATCAAATAATCCAATCATGACAAGCTTTATTCAGATTAGAAGCATTTGGACATATAGTTATCTAATCTGCTAAAACAACCACAGAAGAAGAGTTGTATTCATGCAGTAGTATCACTCCATCCGATTCAGGAGTTTTCCCCCCGGTTGCGCTGTGTGTGTAGATGTGACATTATTTTGCTATATGTACGCCTTGTTATGTTAGCGGAGTAGGAGGCGCGGCACCTGCAGTTATGTTTTAAGCCAGAGCGTAATAATGAGACCTCTTGCATTGGTCTCAATAAATAAGCCAAAGACTAAAGACTGAAGATTGAGGAAGAGAGTCACGATCGGAATTAGTGTTTACATGGATGTGTTTGGGAATAACGATCGGCATAAACCACCCCTCTCAATCGGAATACAATTTCTTTCCGATTGAGCCGAATTGGATCAGAATCTTCCAATCAACATGTTTACATGACGCATTTTTATCCTGATCGGGCATTTAAAGAATGAGAGAAAATTGATCATACGTTTGTTTGTTTTTTTCTTAAAGTAAGTGAACGCACTCTGTGGTCAACTCGATTATCTATTCAGTTTACACTCTCAGCTTAGCATTTGTCTACCCTGAGGCGATGCTCGGAAGACAAGCTGAAGTGGGCAAGAGCCTCCTTTCCTCAAACGCTCCCCTCTCCAAGCTCCAGAAATAGCCCAGCAGTCTGCCGAGGGGCCAAAGGCTAAACCAGCTCTGCTAGTGTAACAGTCAGGAAAGGATGGGGAAATATAGTGAGAAAGAGGACTCATGAGAAGAGGTGCTAATTCTCATCGACGATGAATAGATCTCAGTCTCAAAGGTTAAAACAGTTGCTGTGGAATTGGATGATTTAGGTGGAGAAGCCTGTGCATGCGTAAAAGAACATGCATACATGTATTGCTCCTAATTCAGAGGAACCTTCTCCAAAAGACAACCTAAAAAAAGAGGTTATGAGTTCTTTCAAATATACCAGAATGAATCATTTCAAACTTAAATCATCCTCCTTTAAATTTGCTCATTTCATAGCTGATTTAACTCTAAAGCATACCATCAAACCAAATGACTTCTCGCCAACAACATTTCTCTCGAGTTCTTTTCCAAATCCAAACTTTTTTTTTGAACCGTCACCGAGAAGTTTCTGTTGAAAGAAAGTGTTGATTAATTCTGGCACACAGTTGGTAGAGAACTTAGAAAAAAAAAAAAAGTTTAGCGGAGTGTGGAAAGGAGCTGGCATCGCTGCAGATTTGGAAACAGTTTAGACACACACACACACACACACATATAAAAATCAGTTATGCTAGGATTCTGAATTTCGAAGCCTCACGGATAAAGATCCAAATTGTGGACTGGGGAGCTTCATGGAGAATTTAGCTAAATCCTCGATGCACAGCAGGAGACATGAAGAAAATAAAACAGGAAGCTTTCTTTTATCTTTTTAAACTTTTATAATAACACTTAAGTCTATTTCATATTTAAGCCAATTAATATGAAGATATGTTTGTGTCTGTAAATTATTCAAATATGAAGGCGAGGGTATATTCGATGTACGCCGAGTCAGCCAAGCTGTCTCATTAGCATTGGATGCTGAACAAGCTGATCAGAGCCAGCTGGGACGGTGTGTGTGTGTGTGTGTGTGTGTGTGTGTGTGTGTGTGTGTGTGTGTGTAGTACATGCTTACATTCACTCAGTGTAGCGGGGATGATGAAATACCGACATCACTCACATCAGTTGGAATAAGTGGGTGTACAAAATCTGTCACTGTGTGTACATGCATATGTGCATATGTAAATGCATTACGACTGAGCTTCCTTTCTTAACGCTGCTTGGCAAGGCGGCCTTATTCCAAGGTTTGAACTGACGATCCGTCCCCAACCAACCCCTGGAGCCGGCAGCAGTCCCGGGCTTTGGCAGGAAACACTGAGACTTGCAGAGCATAAAACTCAAATCTGTGATTACTGTTTAACATATCATGGTCTTGTGTATTTACAAATTAGAAATCCAACTTAAAACACAGAGATTCAAAGCCACAGTGGGCCCTCACACCTTTTTGCATATTGGGTGTGCAGTCTGAGTAAAATGTGGAGATGTGCTCAGACAGGGACTGTCAGCATAAATGTGTATTCCTGAGCACAGTGAGTATTGTTGTCCTGCCTTGGGGCTGTGGCTTTGTTAAAGTTAGCTGTAACACTGCACTGTGATAACAACTGTGCATTAATCAAACAGATTAGCTTGTAAGCTGCTTCAGGAGGGTTATGGGAATTAATGTATGTAGATAAGTTGAGGTTTAGACTTGCATGAAACCTCTGCAATTTGGAGTAAATAAGTATTCTCACAGGTTGAAAAATCTGAATGTACTGTAGCTGTGTTAAGGGATGGACATTGAACATGAATATACATTTTCACACATGTTGAACATTATATAAAGGAGCTATAGTAGGGTGACCATACGTCCTCTTTTACCCGGACATGTCCTCTTTTTTGGGGGGGGGCTGTCGGACCTTGTCTGGCTTTGTCCAGGGAAGTTTATAAAATACTTCAAATGTCTGGGGTTTTGTATAATAATACATCAGATGTCATACTAGCGCTTCATCAGAGACCCTCAAAGTGCTCTACATTGGATACATCATTCATTCGCTCAACAGTCACACCTTGGTGGTGGTAATCTACCTTAGTAGGGCAGACTGACGGAAACGTGGCAGCCATTTTGCGCCTACGGCCCCTCCGACCACCACTACACAACACTCACATTCATACACCAGTGGAGGACACACACTGGGAGCAAGGTGGGTTGAGTGTCTTGCCCAAAGACACAACGGACAGACTAGAGATAGGGGGGAATTGAACCGCCAACCTTCTGATTACTGGACGACCGCTCTACCTCCTGAGCTACTGCCGCTCCAAATGGATGGAATGTATCTACGGAAGTTTTGAGTTTGTGTCACATGAACTTACTGAGTTAGAAACACATAAAAGTCACTCAATCCAACCCAAAAACTCAAAATTAACTTTGTGCAACTCTGTGACTCCGCCCTCATGTAGTCGTGTCCCCTTTTTGGGGATTCAGAATAGGGTCATCCTAGCTATAGGAACTTCCTGTTTCATGGCAAACAGTGATAACTTTGAATCTTCAGTGAGTCTGCAATGCACTGACCTGAAGATTACAGGATGATAGGACAAAACCTCTTTCTTTACCGAAGTGTGCACCAAAACTTAAACCAGACATTCAACTAAAAGTTGTGGACTTCCTGTTGGGATTTCACCATGACAGCAGGAGACGTTTTTGTTGGTTTTAATGCATTACATGCCCACGGTAAACATTTAAATACCAGGGCTGCAAACAGCCAAAGAAATTCTTGGTTGACTAAAAATATACTGTTATCAGGAGAAGAAGGCAATTAATCACAAATATTATATTCAGCAAACCTCCTAAAAACAGTTTGACCTCAGCAGGACTCCATACAGACTGAGAACCTTCCTTCTGCGAGTGTGTTTATCTTAACTTTTAATGAATCAGACATTGTGTTCAGTCAAGTGAGAAAATAAATTTCTGAACAAAAGTTTCACACCTAAAGTAAATACAAAAAATATCTGTTTCAGGGAACAAAGAAATAAAAAAAAAAAGTAATTTCAAAAAGAAAATGAAAAGCCGAGTGACAATGTGTGTGCAGGAATGAAGTCAATGAAACTCCACCAAACCAAACGAAGCCCATCTTTGCACCAGACCTCTTATATTTTGCCTTGTAGTGGGTAAGAAATGTTATCAGGAGAGCCCAGGCTGATGAAAACACAGGGTCAATCACCACTGGACCCGTGAGCATTACTCTCATTACTCGCCTCTCGGCAGTTTGGACGCTTTGGTCTGACAAGCAGGCAGAGAGAGGGCAGAGCAGAGCCCGATTCCCCCCGCTCGCCTCACTCTGACCCCTGAGTTAATAGAAAAGACCTGGTCAGCAGGCCCCTGATTTGTCCTCCTGGCAGATCCCTCCATCCCTCAGTTCTATTATCCTACCTGACCTGCCAGACCATTCATCAAGCTCCCATCATGCAATTCAACAGCTGTGTCGACACAGGGAGAGAGAAATTCAGTGCAGACAATTTCAGCTTTATCAAGTTGATCAGGAGAAATTCTGGATTATACAGACTCACCCTTTAATCTTGGGAAAGTTTTAAATAATTGTAAATCAATTTAGTCTTTGAAATGTCAAAAAGAGCTGACATTGTGCTCAACTTAAAGACATTTTTACTTTGAAATCTCAATATCTCGACTTGTTCAGCAAGTGTCACTGACTTTATAATCTTATACTGAAATTTATCTGATGGTTTTTAAGTGCTGGGAGGCAGACAAAGTAAAGAGAAACCCCTCAAGGTAAAATAGTAAGAGTGAAAAATAGTCCGTCAGGTGTTTCTGTCCAGCTCCACCTGTCGACTTCAGACAAAAGAAAACTGAAATGATTCACTCAGAAAAATCCCAGCCAAGGGCCCTGGAGACTCCAAGAGAGAACACTCACACTGTTTTCAAGGTGAGGAGTTGTTTTTTTTTATAGCACTCTATTTGTTTTAATGAGCATTTTTCCTCCTCCGCTCTATGAACTTAACTGTATTCCTCTCCAGCCATGTGTCACCTTCCTCTCTGTACAGACAGCTCCTCATTAACTTGCAGCACTGACTCTGGTGTTTTCCTTTAGGGCTGTACCTGCCTTAAACAATTTGCTCATTATCTCTCACCTCACAAAATGATCAAGGTTAGACTCATATAGGGATGGAGGTATATGTTCATACAAATCAGGATAGGATGGATGCAGGTATATGTTTCCATGTGGATGTTTTCATCGTCTGTCTTGGCAGAAGTTGTGTGCATACGTGGGACTCGACAGCAGCAGGAGTAACATTTCTAAGAGATGACCAGCATGTGAGCAGTGGAGACGTCTTTATGTCATGCAAACACCTCCCAGTGGAGCACGTCAGCGACCATGTTGGCCTCCACTGGCTCTGTCTGGACAGTGAGAGACAGAGGTCTGCACAAGGTCATGACCCCTGCCTGATATGTGGGGAGTGTTAGAAGAACCTGTCACAGCAGCAGCAGCAGCAGCAGCCTCAGAGATACAGATACGACTGTCTAGATCTTGGCTGTGATTTAAACTGAGGAAAATTTAAAACAATGTTTGTGAGCAGCGGTAAGTGAGAGCTATCTGGGCAGAGAGCCATTTAACACTAAAGAATAAATGTAATTTTATATTGATGTTACAATATGAATGAATACATTGTCTGCTTTGCCAAGAGTGTAGTGTGGGGAATTTTTTAAATTCATTTTACAATGAATGCAGTTCGAGAGCCAAGAGCAGGGATGTGTTGGCAGAAGAACCAGACAACCATATGGCAGAGCTGAGAATCATGGGAAATATGCAGTGGATACTTAAAGCACAGAGCCTTGAGGTGTAAATTTAAGTTAGGGTCAAAAACACCATAACACCAAGTTAGGCACCCTCTCGAGAGATGAATGTTGCCGACTGCTTAGTTATAGGTTATACCAACTTTAGTAACGACTGCACAATAGCAACACACAGCGGTCTGAGGAGCCATAAAGAAACCTCAACCAAAACACCACTCTATAGCCACAAATAGTTCTCAGAACAGCATTTAACTTCATCAACAGTACATATAGGGTCCCAGCCATAGCACTAGCCACCAAACTTCTTTTTAGCTTTGCCTAATTTCTTTAGCAAAGAGACACAAACACAACTCACCAACTCTTCCAGCAGCCGCTTGTTTTTAGGGAGAGCTCGGACGAGTCGATCACCAACTGCAACGGGTTGACGCAACTCAAGGAAGAACATTTATGATCATTTCTTCATGGAAATATGGAAATTCCCGAGTGATTATGTGGAAAGCATGAAAATGCGAGCGGAGTCTGCACAGCCTGTCACTGCTGACGGTACGAGTAGCATTAGCAGTTTAGCTCCAACTAGCGGTGCAGCCACCAGACCAAAGCAGCAATCAATCATATCATCTAATATTTACATAATCTAATGTTTACATTTAAAGGTGTCGTCATTATCTCTGAGGGGGCAATTTGTTTATTTTTGGGTCTTGCACACCTGCAAAAACACTCAGGACTGTAAACTAATTCACTGTATTATCTAGTATTTATCTACATTTGTATCTCTGTATTTGTACTGTTGAGTTAAAATGGTTTTTAGATTTTTCCAAGTTTATCTTGTTCAATTTGCTTTGTTATTTACTTTGTGTGTTAATAAAATGTTGAACTAATCTCTAGTTTCTATAGTTTTTAGTACAGATACTTTAAAACTGGCAATTAAAAAAAAAACTGTGATAATAATCAAGATCGGACGATTTGACAAAATATATCATGATCTTTTTTTTTTTTTTGCCAAATCGCCCAGGCCTAATATGTCCTGTTGATGAAGTTAGGTGCTGTTCTGATCATTATTTGTGGCTATAGAGTGGCTTTTTGGTTGAGGTGTGTGGAAAAGTAAACTGCTGTGTATTATCGTGCAGTCGTTAGTAAAGTTGGTATGACTAGAGAGCAAGCGGTCGGCAACATCCATCTCTCGTGGGGGTGTCTAACTCGGTGTTACAGTGTGTTTGACCCTAACTTAATTTTATGCCGGAATATCCCTTTAAGTTTAAGTAGCCACACAGTGTTTATACATGCTGCTGTCCTAACATGACCAGTTCATCTTAGAATGAAGAGTGAGTGTGAATCTTTATTTCATGTAAAGAATGTACAACTGTTTTATCATTAATCATCTTTTTAATATCTTCCATATCAAGTTAGCTGCTGTTGTTCAATATTTAGAGGATTAAAGTTGCAAACTTCTGATACCAAGTGTTTACATTTTGCCCTCCTCCTCCTCCTGATATCCATATTTGACCACAACCTCACACCTACACACATTACTCACATCCTATCACCCCCTTGAAGTCAATTGTTATGAAGAGTAACTCCTGGAAGAAGGAGATACAAGCACTCTTGAGGGGTCATTACTCCACATGCATTGATGATT